CTTTTAAGTTTTAAAGTTTTAAGTTTCTGCAGTTTATTCAGAAAAGGCTTTCTCAAAGAATATTTAATAAATATTATCCATTCCAAACAAGTATGTATTAAAACAAATGGAGGCCTTACCACTTTAGGAAAGGCAAGTCTTTCAAAATGTCTCCAGCAAATTCATCAACCAAATTACATGACATTGGAATAAAACCCAAATTTGGCATCTTTTCCTGGGAACTTTCTGTAAACAACAACAACAAAAAAATATGATCAAGTTAAATATGAAACTTTCAGAAAGGAAGACAATAAATACATTATTTTCCAAAATTTCACATTTAAAAATATTTTATATTCACTTCAATTATATTTTAATTCCAATCCTGTTCATAAAGTTATTTTCCTAGATTAGTCTTTAGGAACATAGTAGAAAATAAATAGATAAATAATAACCAAGCAAATAGGTATATAGATTAAATAGGTAGGTGGCTGGGTGGATAGATAAATGAATTGATAGATATATGTCTGTATAGATGCATTATGATGGTGAACATGACAGATTATTGACAGATGATAAAGAGACACATAAGAGATGATTCCTATGGTGCTTATGTTCAAATGTTCAATCCTTTTATTTTTGTCTACTAAGTGATAAAGTATCTAAAGATAGCAATCTGAAAGATCACATATAGAGTGTCAAAATGAAATTAAAGACAGAAAAAAGCAAAGGTAATGAGATTGATATCGTTATAATATACCCTTTTAGCTCCCTTTTGATTTATATATAAGCTTATAGAAAAACAAGTAGATAGATGACCAAAAAAAGATAGATCAGATAGACAGACACATGATAGAAAAATGATAAATAGGTAGATAGATTATAGATAAATGATAGATGATAGATAGATAGATAGATAGATAGATAGATAGATAGATAGATAGATAGATAGATAGATAGATATCAGATACATCTTTTAGCTGAGATAATTGGCTAATGAATACTTTTTATTTAACATATTATTCGTAATTCTACTGATGCTCTCTAGTCCTATGTTTTCCCAGAATACCTTCTGCAACAATTAGTTTAAGTACTTTCCTCCATGTAGCAAACAGAGATCAAACCAGAAGCCCTGAGAATAACCCTCATCCAAAGCCATGATAGGAACTGGAGAATAATTACCCCATCTCTCTTATTCCTCACAAGAAACGTTTCCAAGATAATGTGAACCTCACTCCAAGGTCCCCAGTTCACCTTGTGTTTCCCCGAGTAGAAATCTACCCATAGATAGGTTCTGCAGAGTGCTCTTCATCTCCTGCCCTAATCTCACTTGAACCACTTCCTGGCTGGCCCAGTAACCTCCTTACACCAGTGAAATTTGTCTCGTGGGATTCATTGTCATAGAATACACACACACGCACGCACGCACGCACGCACGCACGCACGCACACATGTATCTTAAGTTCTCAGTAAACATTTCTTTTGAAACTTCCTCTAAATCATATTTCCTAAAATTCATTACAGTATTAAGGATGCTATTATGACTAAAAAAATTTTTGTTTTTATGCAAATATGCATAGTACCCTCCATCCTTAGACAATTTAATAATCACATATAATTTTGCTGCATTCTGAATGTCGTCATTGAGAAATTTGTGACAACTAACTTTTCTTCCTTTGTATTTCATTCTGATTCCTTTTGAGATGTTCTGTATTTTTCACAAGTTACAGTTTCACTTTGTGTGCCTAGGGAATGTATTTGTCCAGTTCAATATGTTCCTGCATTTCATTTATCCCATTTGAGAGCATCAATGTGTAAAACTTGTCATCATTAATTCAGGTAAACGTTAGGTCATTATGTCTTCCAACATCACTCCACTCACATCAGTTCCTTCTTTCCTTCTAAGTTTCCGAATGAACCAATGGTTGATTTTCACTCTTCATGTCTTTTAATGTGTGTCAGATTTTAATTGTATATTTATTTAAGGTATATACTATGCTTTAATATACTTATCTTAAGACATAGATGATAGGTAGATAATAGACAGACAGACAGATGATGGATGGATGGATGGATGGATGGATGGATGGATGGATGGATGGATGGATGGATGTGCATAATGTTAGTTGGGCCTGGTGGTGCATCCCTGTGATATCAGCACTTGGAAGGTGGAGGCAGGATGATCAGGAACTCAAGATCACCCTCATCTACCTAGTGAGCTCAAGACTAGTTCATACTACACAGCACCTTATCTCAAAAAGCACACACCATGAAAACAAAAGGATACACAGAGTAAACTTGTGGTACAGTCAGGAAAAACAACATGTCCACTCTATTAAATATTTCTGTATTTCCTTGTAAGTTTTTGTGGGTGTTTTGGTGTTATGATTGCCTAAAATCTTTTACTTTCCCAAATCACTAGTGTATATAATAGAATATATAATGTGATCAGTGTTAGCCCTCATAGAATACATTACCCTCATCAAGTACATCAAATCTAGGTCTATTCTCTTCCATAAGCTTAAATTTTTACACTTTGACCTACATTTCCCATCCCCTAACACTGCTCCCTCAATAACTATCTGTTTACTTTGCTCTACTTCTATGTATTTTTTTTAGACTGTGCATGTTAATGGTATCACACAGTACTTTTCTTTCTGTAACCAGCTTAAGTCATTTCTCATAATGGTATTTTTAACCCATTTCGTTTTCTTGTTGGAAACTGAGCCCATGGCCTCAGACCTGGTAGGACACACTAAAAGTGAGGAATGTCTCCAACCCTAAGCATAACTCTTTTTTCTATTTATTTATGCTGCTCAAACTCCCCCATTATTAATATCCAATCAGCCTTTAAACCCACTCAGTATTTTGATTTCTACAAGTTTGCTTATGGGAATGAATATTGGTTTAGAGTTTCTATTATTTTTCTCATTTCTAATTTTATATTTAATCTCTCTTAAATGTTTTCAAATTATATTCAGGAGGTATATAATAGTTGTGATGATTTAAAAAAACAGAAGTTATCAGTTCTAAGTCCACAGCTAATAGTGTTCTTAGTTATTCCTCAGCCCTTTCATAAATTCTATCAGCATCCATTTTTGATACATAATCCAATAATTTGATACATAATCAAATAATAAAACAAATGTTTGTGATTTGTTCCTCATAATAATTTGCCAGATCTCTCTGATCACTTTCATTTACTGGATTAGAGTGGCCTCGTGGCCTCAGCTTAAATTCCAAATTCTCAAGAGCCATCTATCATGTTCCAGAACCAGTGTGACTCCTTTGTTACTTCTGTTTGTTAAAAGGCAGGTCTAGAGGGAGCTAATCTTTGGGGTTTGCTATGGACCTGGTCTTCATGAAGACTGTCTGTTCTACCACTCCCTGGTTCTGGCCTCATCTCCTGTACCTGTCACCAGAGACACTCTGCACATCTGTAGCATAGAGAAGGCAAATACAGTGATCTGGGCAAAGGCTTTCTAAAGGGGCTGCTGTCTCCTTTTTATTCTTTGGCATCTCATAGTCTGCCCAACACATGCCTACTGATTGTTTTGTTACTAAATAAGACAGATGCTAATTATGGTGCCATGCTAATCTCTATGCTGGCTTAGATGGTTCTCAGCTGCTCTAGTTAGAAGCTCTTGCAGGCTTTTCCCATTCTACTGTTTGGAGAGGAACTATCATCCTGTAATAGAATACTGAAATTTTCAGTTGACAGAGGTCACATTGCTAGAAATAGAATTCACACCCATTTGTTTCTGATTTTTTAAATTGGCAATATTAATTATAAAGTACATATAAATGTTCAATATTAGTCAAAGCACACCACCACATAGACATGACAATTATTTAAACACACAAATGCTAGAAAATTATTTCTACTTGGAGTTTTCAAACATTTTTCCCTCAATTTAAGTTATTAATAAATTACCTTTAACTGGCGATGGGGTCTTTTTAAGAAAATGACATTTGGTTGTTCTTAAAGGAAATGGTTTTCCCACATCAAAGTTTCTGACCAACTTCGACACAGTGTCCCAGAGATGTACATATTCCTTCATGATGACATCTCCTACATCCAAATCCAGGCCTGAATCATAATTAAAAATACTCTATATTAAGAAGCATCCACAAATGCATGGAAACACACAACTTCACTAAAGTCACTAGATTCTGAAATATGAGGCAAGCAGTGGGATTTTCAGTGGGCTTCTCACTGAATGTAAATGAAAATGATCATGGCTGTGGACAATGCCATGACACAACTTAAAACTGATCATGCTTTTCTGTTTGACAACATAATATTAAAAATTACTGTCTTAACTCATGATAATCAACAGTGGAGATTTAATTAAGGTAATAAAAATATTATACCACATATAACTTTGTAACCTTTAACACTGAATAAAACTAAAATAAAGATTAAGGAAGAATTGTTGTTTTATAAATAACTAATTTATCCCAATGCCTACAATATAAAGAGACCAAATCTTGATGTCAAAGACATTTCAATACTACTCAATTAAGCACTCAATCAAACATATTTTCTCAAAATGTGTTTTCTTTTCCTTTGACTATAAAAACACAAGAAAAGTTATTCTAACAAAAAAAACAAATTACACAAAGAAAGTATAGAGATTATCTCTTGGAAAAACTTAAAATCTCTAAATATCTATTAACAATGAAATATTTCTATTCATGAGAGCAGTTTTATAATTACCTACCATGCATGAAAACTAACTGTTCTGAAATGTCATAAACTCATGCTTTTAGCAAAAATACTCTAGGATTAATAATAAGCTAAAAAATATTTTGAATTGCTGTATTCATCCTGGTTGCTATAAATAAAAATCATAAACAAAGACTGGGAAACCTGAAAATAATTATTATTTAAACAATAAACATTTAAGAAATGGTTTTGAGGTTTAAAATTCTTCATGAGCTTTCTCTCTAAAGAAAGGTGATGTGCATTATATAGTAAGTTGATACCTTTTGCATTTTCATTTTCATAGTAAAAAGCAATATTCTTCAACAAAGGCTTATCACTTAAATCAGAAAGGTGAAGCAAATTCAGACTCTCAAATTCAAACATATGTACATTGCTTAGGATGAAATATTCGCACCATTTTTTCTGAAAATAAAAAATAAAAGAAACAAAGTTATTGACAGCTTTCCTGTCCACAGTAATACATGGAATGACTCTATATACATCTACAATCCAAATGAAAGGCAAACAGCAGGACTGTCCCAATTCTCATTAGCATGTAAACCCATTTATTTGAATATAGATTATGTTGTCCCTTAAAAACTGAAGCATTACATAAAATAAAAAACTGACTCAAAAATGAATTTAAACTGAATGTCATCCTAGCACTTGGGAGGCTACAGCAAGAGATTGCTGAGAGTTTGAGACCAGTCTCTGTTACACAGTCAGTCTCAAAGCAACCTGAGTTACACAGTGAGAACTTGTCTCAAAAAACATCTTGTTTTCATGAGTTAAAGAAATATCTATAATTACTGCTGATAGTTTCCTCTCATTGTGATTCAAAATCTCAAAAACTACATATTTCTTCTGCTTTTGAATATGCCTCTGTTCTTTATTTAGGTTTCCTTGTTTACTTTCGAGTTGCCAAGTGTTGAACTACTAAGGGTTCTAGAAACAACAAAATGTTTCCCATCCACCTGAGCTGTTAGGTCTCCACCAACTTAAGGCTGTGCAGGGATGCTCCATCTTAACACTGGCAGAATGTCTGCACTGACAGCACTTACTTCTGACCATGGTAGACATGAGTCTTCTTCAATGGTATGGTTTACAGTGCTAAAGTGAGAGCCTCCTGTGGGAGGTTTCTTCATCCACTCTCCCTTGGTGTTAAAACCTAATGCTTCCCAATGAAATGAGGGAAATGAAGCTGCTGTTCATGATCAGCTAGAATTTCCAGGTACATCCTGCTAGACCATCTTAGGATGTCATCAAACATTGAACAACTTTTTGTAATGTTTTTTTAACCTTCCTTATGTATTTTTTTTTTAAAAAGTCCCAAGTTCCTCACTATCTTTATCGATGTATATCGAAGGCATCCTGTAGAGTGTAGCCAATCCAGCTTTGGTCTGGAAGTTTCAACCCCCATTGAAGCTTCAGTAACTATCATGCCTACAAGGCGGGGCCTGGGAGGGGCCTGAAGACCCACCTTGTGCTCTTGTTGCCTGGACACAAGAGGTAGATGAAGGAGAGTTCTTCAGAGAACACCTCTGGACTGCATTGCATCTTTTCCAGAACCTGCCACCTACCTATCCCTTCATTTGTAAGTTACCCACTAAATAAATCTTCCTTTTAACTACATGGAGTAGCCTTAATAATTTCACCAATAGCACCCATACAAGTCTGTATCACACCTATTGTGCTCACACCAGCTCCCATTTGAGTTCCAGGGCTTCAACTACATAAAGGTGACAAAAAAATTAATAGAACTGAGGAATAAATTTTATAAAAAAAAAACCCAAAGCACATTCTTGGTGCCACAATGCTTATTTAAATTTCAGACATCAGTAGATTTATTATATTAACCTGAAGGGACCCATATTAAAGTGTTTAAATGAAAATGAGATCCAGAAGTGGATCTGTTAATATCCATTTCATTAAAAATACATAGTCTGTTGCCCCCTACGGGACTAACAAAGCACCTAGAGGAATGTCCTTCTATGGGGTTTAGGATACAGAATTTTCTCTCATGAATCAGTAGAACCTACACAGAGTCATCTTCGTCATGTCTAGTATTTACGGCACCACAGAACTCCTTCAAAATGCCATTATAACAGCTATGAATGCTCACAAATGCAGATATTCAATATATCCTACCACTCTTTTGTATGGATATGGGTGTAGTGTGAGTGTGTTGTCCAGGTATGTGGAGGAGTATGCATGACTTCAGGAGACATTCCCCTGGTATATCCCACTTGATGTATGCAACAGGGGTCTCTCATTGGCCTGGACCTTGACCAAGTCACCTAGAAGGCCAATAAGTGATCTTTCCATCTGCTTATCCTTGGGATTACAAGTGAGTATTGCTGCACCTGACTTGATTTCAGACATGCTTCTACATTGGAGATTAAAGTTAGGTTCTCAGACTTGCGAAGCATGTGCTTTACAAACTGAACCATCATTCTTGTGCCTTAAACCTGACCTTCAGTTTCCAACCACAGTTCACACTGTGCAAATAAAGTAGTATGTATATAAGTAGTAGTGAATGTAACACAAGCACTACCAAGTAAAATTAATGTAACTTAATCGCCTCTTTAGTCACACTCCAATCAATGCCCTTCATGAATTTCCTCCACCTCTCCCATGCTACAGTTTGACCAAGGCATTTATGCAAATACTGTTCCTCCTTGAGTAAGAAAGCAACACTCTCCATGCAGTTCAGCTGCCTCCAGTTATGCTTAAGTCACTCTTCAGAATGCTACAGAAGATAAATACTTAGGGCCTTAAGTCTAGAGTGCTCAAAGGTCACTTCCGTTAGTCTCCACACCATCGACATGTATGTGGCTAAATAACCCCCTAATTTCCCCAAATCCAGGTTTGTGTCTACACTGTATGGTCTACATTGAAAGTCAAAAACACTTTTTAAAAATAGAAGTCCCATTAGCCTGCTTAAAACCATTTAGTAGGCACCCAATGAACTTATGATGAATTTATCTACCCTGATCTACCCTTGTCTACCTGACTTGTCTCTCACCCACTACATCAGCTTCATCACTAACCCCATAGACTCTCTGTCCTTGATACACTGGATGGACCCCAGTTCCTTGGCCATGCTATCTTTAGGACAATCACGCATAATGTTTCTTCTCCCAGAATCTGGTTTCCATTCTCTCCACCCTACTAACTCCTATCTATCCTCCAGGACTTGAGTAACATAACTTCTTAAGAGAAACCTTTGCAAACTTGGCTAGATCTTTTCATTATCAGATTCTAAAATACTCTAGTTCTTCCTTCACAGTAATTGTTAAGATTTAATATGTGTCTTCTCTATAAAATGTAACTGTCTGAAAGAGCTGGGGTGGGATGACGAAGGATGTTTAGCTCACACTCCATCTCCAGGTTGGAAAAGCACATTCCTAGTTCCATTGAGCATAAGACACTTTTCCTGACTGTTTATCTCAGGATCCTAAAAGAAAGTATGGATGGCTAATATAAATTATATATATATATATATATATATATATATATATATATATATATATATATTTCATTTAAAATGAAGAGAATAAACAAGTGTTAACAGATTCTTGCACTGATTTACATGGAAGATTGCAGAGAGATTTTTGAATTTTTCAGTTTTCCCAAGTTCTCCAAAATCTCTCTATCCATACATAATCTGTAATGAAAAAAATCATAAAGCCTTGCATTTATTTCCTCAGCTCTTTCTCAAAGCAGAATATGGTGTTCACTGGGAACTTCCTTGTTAATGACAGAAAACCCTAATGCTGACAAGAATTTCAAAAACGAAAATTTTAAGAAGCTCCTCTTTGGGTTGGATACATGCCAATGTGCTTGTTATTACTACTTAATATATTTGTTAACACTAGTCAAGTGACTGATGTAAGCAAGCTGACCTTTTGAAGACCCCCCCCCAAATTTAACACTACCCTCTATGAATCTGTTTTGAAGGTTAATGTGGCCCATATGTTTGAAGTAGTTAGAACAAATGTATAAGTGAAAGGAGAGTATATTTACCATTTTAAAGACAGTCTTGAGGTCCTGAATCCAACCAGAAGTGATGAATCTTGAGCGAGCTCGCTGGGAAAGAGGTAGATGGAGTTGAAAAGCCACAGAGAGGCAATGTAGCTTACAAAGGTCTTCCATGTCCTTCAGGGTTAAACAATTACCCTTTTCCTGAGGAAATTAAAGAAGTGAGTAGAGAAGAGCAGGCTGGAAGACTCCACACTCAATTTGTGGAAGCACAAACTCTGAAGCCAAGCCCTCTATGGGAGAATTCCATGTTTATACGTTCTCCACTTCAGAGACAGCACTTACCCAAAAACTAGGCTGTGTTTAAGGCTGTGTATGTCTGAGATAGAGGGGAAAGGAAGCTTCCAGCTTTGCAGACGTCGGTATACGACATGATTCAGTATTTTCAGAGACTCCAGGTTTAAGCTAATAAACCAGGTGATGAAGGGGAGGTTTCACAGGACCTTGGGTGGGTGGAGCTACATGCTAAATACTCTCTTCTGTCTAAGCAACCTACTCTGAAGGCAATATTATGAACTGCCAGCATGAGGACAAGAGGGTAGCAATGTAGCTAAAAGGTGTAAGTTCACAATGACAAGAGGAATAAGTAAGTAGATATATTTAGCATTATGGGACAAGAACATCTTTGTTATTGTCAAGCATTTTGATTTGTTGGGGGAGCAAGAAGACTTCACTGGGACACTTCTAAAATCCCAGGGAAGATCTAATGGTTAGAAGTTCCAGAAAGAAAAGTTTGACTTACTATCATGATTTAGGGATGATTTAAAATTGGATGTCTAATCATGTAGAAAGGTTTCATTGAAAATTATATTTAAGGAGATACTGCACAGCAAAATAGATTCTTGACCTTTTCTGCAATAATGGAAGCTAGGAACAGTAGTCTCTCCCAGCTAGTCTTGCAAGGCTTTCCTGAGCATTCCATGCACTCACACAGAAACGCCCAAAGCACAGTAGCATGGTAGGTGGTTTCTCCTTTTGCCTGCCTGTGGGTGACAGGGGCTGAATATATCCTACATGAAACACCTGTAGGTAACACACTACATCATGGAGCAACAGACTTCTTTATAACATGAATTGTAGGGATTTTCCTATTTCTAAAGTTCATATAAACAAAAGAAAATACCAGTGCCAAGTGGGGAAAATGGTGGGTGAAAAACAATAAAACAGAGAAGCAGTAATGTAACCCAGTGTAACAACTACACCTGTTTGCCTTCGCCTGTCTGCTTGGATGCTTTCTTCTCTCTGTTTTCTAAAAAACGGTGGTACATTTCCAAGGAGAGGGAGCACGAAGTGACAGAGAGGACTCGTCGGATGTCAGATCCTTCTGGCCAGAGCTGCTTAAGCAGAGATAGAGTCTCACAAGCCTGTCACAGCAGAAAATTATAACGTCAGGATAATTAGAAAACTATATTTATTCATAAGTGATCATATAGTAAGAAATGGGTGGATATGACCATATAGAATATGGTTATTTCAGCTTAAGAAAATTATGAACAAAAATGTTGAGTGGCAAACCTATTTCAAAAAACTGTTAACAAATACATGCATGAAACATAACACCTGTAAATAAACAAGGAAATACATGACTCTTTTAATACTAATTCTCCAATGAAACTCAAATAATGAGAAAAACAGTAAAACATCTTATATTCTTTAGTAATATAAAAATTGCTTTTTTAACTTTCATGATATCAAAGGACTTTTTCATCTTTCACTACTTTAATAACAGACAGCACCAGAAATCATGGTTTGTCACTCCTTACACTCTGCTAATAAAGTTATAAACAAGCAAAGGCATATGACAACACATTTAATTGACATTCAATATGTTGATTTTTTTTCATTCAAGTTCTAGAGACCTAACCTAGAGGAACAATCCAAAATCTGCCTGAAGACATGTATGTACACCAAGGTGTTCATCACAGAATGATTTGTAAAAGTGAATCTTCAAACAATTTAAATGTTTAGCATTCAAGAAACACCATATGTCCATAAAAATATTACATGTTAGAATTTTAATGAAATCATAAAATATGTATGTAACAATTTTGAAAAGTAATAAAAGCGTGTGCATCTAACATACCATTAATACTGTAAAATACATAATGTCACTTAAAGGATATATTCAAAATATGTGAGTCTTGCCTCTGAATGTTGACAATATAAGCAAGTAAGACATAATAATAAAGAAATGTATTCAGAATAATACCATCACATTCTTGAATCTAAATACTATAATTCTATTGATGAAATTTAGAGATACATTATCCTCCCGCATTCCTATATTAACCAAGGCACTAGATTACTCACAAGAAATTTTATGCTCTTTATACTATATTTTTATTATTTTATGAATATGAATGGTTTTGTCTACATGTATATATGCAAGAGAGTAAGATCTCTGCATCACTGAGCCAACTGTCCAGCCCCCATTTTGTATTTTCTTAAAGTATATGCATATATAATTTTGTGGCTAATCCACATGACTAGAAGCAACACATATCATTGCAATCAACTTTCTGAATGTATTGGGTACTTTTATAGATACTTTGCACCAAATCTCCTCTTCTGCATCAGTTAAAAAGGAAAATAGTAGTACCAGGAAACAACAATGATGAAATGTATAAGGGAGAAATAATATATTCCATCTGGAGAATATATCCAGTTCCCTATCATACTTGTGGCACCTCAAGACTTTGTAGAGACCAAAGAGATCCCACAACCTTATGGGAAATACAAAGGACTGATATCAATAAAGAGTGAACTACAACAATCATAAGAAATAATGAATCTTCCCTAGATATGCAAAGGCTATTTTTAAAAGTAATCTTTTAATTTGAAATTTTTAATTTTCTTTTTTTGGATTTATTCATATTACATTAAGGTGTGAGTATATGCCTGCACATACAATTGTACCTAATATATGCTTCGTGCCCACAGATGTAAGACATCGGATCCCCTATAACTGGAGTTATAGATGGTTATGAACCACCATGTGAGTGCTAGGACTAAATTCCAAGTCCTCTGCAAGAGCACCTAATGCTCTTAAGCACCATCCTATCATTCCTGTCGAAACTTTTAATTTTCTATTAAGTCATTCATGTGAAAAAAGAAATGCAGACTGAAGTTATACAATTTCTTTAAAATTATAATAAAATCATTAAATATAATATTCTATGGAATGCAATGAAGATTATTATCTGTATGTAAAAATCTATGTCGTGCAATGAAAGCAGTGCTCAGAGAAAAACATCAGACTAAATAATGTTTAATACCAAAAGTGAGAAAATAGAACAATTAAATGCTCTGCTCAAAAAAAATAGATAAAAATAAACAAGAAAAATCAAAAGAAAGTAAAAGATGAAATCATAAACTAAGAGAGTAGAAGTCCATATATCTTGTTAATAGTTGCAAACTCAAGCTGGAATTAGATAAACATCATTAAACAAATAAGAGAAGGCACAAGTGTATGAAATAAAAATAAGAGAGAACAACACCGAGACAGAAAACCATTTCAAAGGTCTACTTTAGAAACTTCTATGGAAACGAACTGGAAAGAGTGAAACTCCTAATTTCCCAGAACAAATTACAGAATTGATTCTCTTGGTATTAGTAGGCCTAAGTACACCAAGATCCATGATGTAGGTGAAATGACTAAGGAACCATCTCAACAAATAAGCACCTTCTTCAACCAGAGAATTCTACCAAATTTTCAAAGACTGCATGGTCCCACTGATCTAGACAGTATTTCAGAATAATAAAAAGAAAGTGTGAATATTCTGATCTTTTCTATGAAGCACATAAAACCTTACACATACACATAAGACAAGACAAAAACTGAAAATTAAATTGCAGTATCATGGATGTCAAACAAGGCAGAAATTCAACAGGAAATACAGCAAGCAGAACCAAGACCAAACTAAGAAAACAGTACACCATGATGAAGCAGATGTACACCAGGCATGCAGCCTTAGAAAACGTGTGACTGCGACACAACAACAATGAACCTAAGGTGAAAGTGACAGTACTGAGGTCTACTTCCACTTCTGCGTTCACGGTATAAACAGTAGGAGAAGCTGGGGTCATCTTCTTTACATCAGAGTCTAGACACATCTACATCTTAGTCCTACTTACAGGAGGAAATAGAGACATTTCTACTCAGACCAGGAACAGGGGGAAGATGGCTAGTATCTCTCCCACTCTCCACTGCTACAGTAAGCCTGTAGGAATGCCCATCAGACCAGAGAAATCCTGGAAGCTTGCTGGTCTGAAGGTAAAACACTGGGAGTGATATACAAGGTATACTCTGACCTACACACACACACACACACACACACACACACACACACACACACACACACACTTTTAAAAAGATAGCTCAACTAAAAAGCATTTTTTCAAGTTCTGTTACCTTTTCCACCATATTATTGAATTTTAAATCTCCAAACAGAGTTGTTAAATCCCGGTCTCTATATTTTTCCAACTGTCGAATCAGGGTTTTATAAGCAATCATAATCTCCTTCTTAAACTGCAAAACAAAGTATGATAAATTGCAATAAATAAAATTATTTCCCAGCTATAAAAATCAGAAATTTAAGAAATAATCATATTGCAATAGAGTCCTCGGTTTAAAATCTACACTAATGTAATTGAGGATGGTCAGCAATGTTTAGAAACCCTTGGAAGCAAGGTAATACTTGTTTATCTCATCTGGCAATTTAGCACGTTATTTTAGCAGTTTCACAAAGTTACAAATAATATAGATTCAGTGTGTTTTACTATGACACATTTCAACCAAGCACCTGAGAAGAAACAAGACTCATAAATTTGCATAAATTCTACATTATTACTCATTTGGTAGTGCTTTTGAACAGACTACATATTCAAGTATCGATTTCATCATTTTCAAATATATGCCTGGCTCTTAGGACTTTTGTGAATATTAAATATAAATAATTCATAAGTGTTAAGAACTATTATATGACAAGAAGTCCTTAGCAAATTACTATATGTCATTACTATTAATTTATTGTCATTATTATTAACCTATATATCATCCTACTAAATCTATAATAGTTTCTATATTGTGGGTAGAGTCAATATTGGATCAAGATAGCTATTTTTAAAGATTTACTTAATTTTTAGTTTTGTAAGTATGTATGTGTGTCTGTCTGTCTGTCTGTATATATGTATGTATCTATGTAGGTATGTGTATGTAAGTGCAGTATACATAGAAGTCAGAGATGTCAAATCCCCTTGGAGTTGGAGTTATGGGCAGTTATGAACTACCTGAGATATGGGTGCAAGAATAGTCTGCACTCTTAGTTAACCACTGAGCCTTAGCTCATGAATCATTTTAGAAATGCTTATAAAATTTCAGAACGTCATCTCTTAGATATACATTACCATCTTGAAAAACATCTGCTTTGAATGTGAGCTTTGCATAAAATATGCATAAAGACGGAGGATGTCAGATCTCTGCCCTGAAAAGAGCACAATGTTGACCTTCACTGCCCAAGACTGAATGACTACGAAGTTGAAAAGGTGTGTCTGCTCGTTGTTCAAGCCTTCGTCAGCAATAATCAAGAAATATGGGCAACTCTGACCCAAGACATTATTCCACTCTTCTGACAAGCATCTAGAATAGTCAGTCCAAACATCCACGGTGGTATTCTTCTGAAGGTGCAGAATTAAAGCAGTTCTCAGGGTGAGAAGTTCAGGGACATTGAAGTACGCATATTCAGCATCCTTTGGAGAAGGAGATAAAGTACATTATTTGAGAAGTATCATTTAGTATTTTATTAGTTCAGGCAGTTAACACCTATCAATAAGGTCATTGAAGAAACATAATATGGCAGGGTTTTGGTTTGTTTGTTTTTCCTGCCCTTTAGTCAGTAAATTGACCCTGGAATTTTGTTGTATCACAAATATATGCTATATATCATACTTTGGACCCTAAGAGTAAGCAAGTCCATAGTACCCAGAGTTCATTACACTTTTGGACCTAAGAATAAGCAGGTCCATAGTACCCAGAGTTCATCACACTTTGCCTTTCTATTTTCTAGTCATTCTCCTGTCCAACCTCACCTCAAAAAGACAAAGAATAGAAAAAAAAATATGAAAATTGTAATTTGTAATTATACATTTTCTGGAATTGGGAACTGAAGGGGAACATGTTATTCTAGAGAATTATTCCAGAGTGCACTGACATTTCTTAAATAGCACATGTTTTTCTCAGTAGACCAAAATTGGTACAACAAATTGCAAACATAGGGCAGAACCCTGGCCGCTTGCACAAAATTCTGCTGGCTATCAATGCTCAGAAATATACAGTAACATGAGTTGCAAACTGATTGAACAAATCCACACCAGAATCCCTAAGTAGAGCGCTAGCTCCCCTGAGTCTAGGAACAGGAAGATATGGTAGCAGGTACATATACCTGTATTTGAAATTGTCAAAATTTTATTTATTGCACCAAATATGGTATTCTCTCATTGATATTTATAACAGAGCACACAATACCAAAATAGAGTTAGTGAGATCATGTGGGCTCAGGTAAACCTACCACTGTATTCAAATAAACTGCCTGCTGAGTTTTGAAGGCAGAGTAGTTCTCAGGGTTAGAGGACTAGAATTGAGGTCAGAGAGGGGCCACTGTTGAGAATTTGACCAACTCTTGTGACTCTTTCTGTCTAGTAAAATTCTATCATTACACATTACAAAATAATCTAATTGTGTTTATTCCTGAACACTGCAATGCTGGGTAATTGTTTTCTTCTCTTCTTCCCTTGAAATTTTATTTATTTTGTGCTTTTTTGTTTTGTTTTGTTTTGTATTTTTTTTTTGTCCTGGAGATTGAACTCACAGCCTTGCATATATATACTAGGCAAGTCTTCTACTGCTAAGTTGCATTTCTAGATCTTTATTTCTTTTAAGAAGGTCTTTCCAGGTTGGCTAGACTACTCATCAACTCACTGTGGGAGCTCCAATGGGCTTCAAATTTCTATCCTCTGTGCCTTAGCCTCCATCTCATCTTATAAACTTTTCAAAATGCATTTTACTTTGCAGTCAGAGGTGAAATCTTTATACAATTTTATAAAAACCATCTTAGTCATAGCCAGGTGTGGTAGTGCACACCTGAAATCCTTTCACTTGGGAG